ATCACTAGCCCATCGGAGCTGATCTGACTTACGAATTAAGTAAAGTAGTCAAACCAACAACTACCTCACTGTCTGTTATCAGATGAGATATTAATGCATAGCAGTCCTGAAGCACCACTTCAGTCGGTAGGTTATAAAATCATTCCAAATAATCTCAGGTTATCACTTAGGGTGTCCAGAAAACTCCTACTTGTCATATTTCATTATTGCCTTTACTACCGGGATTCCTGATGCAACATCAATCCGTGTAAACTTGGGTGGGGAGAAGAAAAAGGCCGGAAGCTTAGATTGAAGATACACTATGCGTGGTTTATTGTTTTGGCTCAGAATGAGGTTACAGAGCATTCGACTGAGGATCATGTTGACACTTGCAAGTAGCAAAATATCACCGCCTATAGTATTTAATCCTGGCAACGTTTCTCTCATGCCTTTTCTGAAGCGAATTCTCAGGTTAGTTGATATTAGTGACATAATTTTTAAAAAAACCTAACTGTTTTTAAGGTAAAATTATTCTTTGGCTGAAAAATATGGACATATAACTAAGACCTGAGCAAAACGCTATCAGAAAAATATTCTTTGATTACTAAACTGTCTTTTAAACATTTATCCGTTGGTACTCACAAGCGTAGATAGATTGGGAATTTGAATCTCCTTCCTTCGGGATGGAATTCGCTTGGTGATAACTTACAGTGGAATCCAAGACATGATTCTTTTGCTCTGCAATCACCAGTTTTATCATTTCACCAGTAGAATTATTTCCTTTGGTTTTAATAATCAGGAGTTACCATAACATACCAAACTGCTCTGCACTTTTCGGGCGATTTTTCACCTGAACTCCTAATTGTATTTAATAAACTTACATCCTGATTATTTCAGTCTATTAAAAAGATCTCCGTTTGCTCATTCAAATGTTCATACTGTAAAAATTCTTATCATCCTCCCGTTCATTGAGAAGACATAATCGCCTGCCGCTATTTTTTCGATAAAGGCTAGATTATCACAGTCTTCAAGTGTCTGCATGCTTATATTTCCTATCAGTAATCGAATTTCTTGGAATATTCTCTTTTGTAAGGGACTTCGTTCACTCCTGACGGTGCGTCTCATAACTGAAACATTTTTCATTAGTCTACTTATAAGTAGCGTGAATACTTAGAAGAAACTTTTTTGTTTTGGCTGGGTGCTTCAGTCAGAAAAGTCAGTCAACATAACTGGAAAAAATTATGAAATGCTAAAATCCTGGATTTGGTGTGATATTTTTCTCCAGAAATAGGTACTCAAGAAATTAAAACTGAAGGGAAATCAACTAAATTACCATTGAATTTCACCAAAATTCTCATTCGTGTGAATCTAAGCAAGCATGACAGTAAAAGGTTTACGAAAACCATTTACTGAATATTTCTTCTCAACTTTTCGCATTACATCCTGTACTTATTTTGTAGAAATACCCATTCTCAAGTCAATATTAGACTGTTTTCTAGATATGAAATAAGTGGTTTTAAACAGCTATAACTCCACTATTTATGATAGATAATGGTCGCTAAGTAAGCCGAAGACGATTGAAATTGAAAGAAAACTTGGGTCGCAGCAGAACTTGGATCAGCGACTAGAAGGTTACTAAACTGATACTCTACCAAAGGCGTTATGAAATATAACTGGTAATAATGTCCCAGTTTAACAATAATAGGTGAGCGTCTTACCCAGTTGCCGTGATCGATGGGATTTGAATGTAGTATTCAAGAATGTGTGGCATAGCTGAAATTAAGACAGAAAACTGTTTCAATTAGGCAATGGATCTTTACAGAAAGGTAGAAGCTTTTGGTCAAGAAAACATCTCTTATACAACAAATTCAAGTTATCTCGTATATTAGTGCCGTTTATTTGACAACACTTTAAGATAAGACTTCAGTAAAACTTGGACACTGTGGTATAATGTTTCTCCATATTTTTTTATTTTAATTTACACAGTATACAGTGGTTGTGTTGAAGTTTCTTGATTGAATGATGCAGGACTTCATTTCCTTCCTGAGAAAAATTATCAGCAGTATCTTCAGTATTAAGTGAGCTATTAGGAATTTTTCCTGAGTGATCCAGTAGCTTTCCATGATGAAGTAGTGTATGGTTGGTAGTTTCCTTCTATTATTTTGTCACTGACTGGAAAAATTGTCCCACTGACCGTTTCACTGCCTCACCTCTGGTCTTGCAGTTGTTTACTATTTTTCTCATCGGTTGATTAACTGATTATTTGTATACACACATGTTGGTTGCTGATTCACCTGGATGCCAATCTGCTAGGAATTCTTTCTAGTATTCTATATATTTCCTGCGTCCAGGATCTTTATATTTTGAAAGTTGAATTTATGCCCATAGTTGTCCACATGCATTGACATGAGCTGCGAGATTTCATAACGTTCAGTAGCCAACTGATTTTCATGCCAAAAGAAACAAAGAGGGTGACCACTTTGTACAATGTAGTGCTAAATGTAGTCGACTCCGTCAATTATATTCTGTTTATCTTCTTTAGCCCTTGAATTTTTGAATCTAACTTGAGGGGTATTCGCAGGTTTCTAAGCTACATCAATCCCAAATGGCGTCATTAGTCATGTCGTGATAGCTGATGTATTCCTTATGTACAGTAAGATGAACAATTTACTAATTTCCGTGGATGACTCTGCAGTTGATGATGAATTGAGTAGGCATCATTTGAAGTTACCTGGGTGATATGTTGTGTTCAGTGCAGTTGTCAAGCAAATTCTATCGTTTCTCGATGAAGATCTTGTACTACAGTCTGGAGTGGTCTTTGAATAAAGGCTGTAAACAAATAACTTTGTTCGTTGTTGGGTCTTTGCTACGGTATTTGAGGAACTGATAACTGTGTAGTGGTTTTCTGTACTTTTGAGTCTCCGATTTTCTTTTGTTGGTTGTACTGACAAAGACATCAACGAACGGCAGTTTGTTATTCCATTCCTCCTTCATCGTGAATTTGATGTCACAGAAAGCGTTGTTGATCACTAAGTAAGAGTTTTTATTTAAAGTATGGTCGAAAGATTGAATAGCACGAACACCTTGTAGTTTATTATGCAATAAATCGTCAACCTCCTTGCATAGTTAGGTAGGAAATACTGATTTAACTCTTACAAAGGCTTGGCTTAACAGTAAGTTTCGTCTTCAGAATAAGTGCACCTGCATGTTGCTCTTTGTACACATCAACTGATTTTCTTTGGTGGATGTTAGTCGGTTAGAGGCAGTTATCAGGAAGCCCTGGACCTAGGTTTTGTGCTTGTTGGCACTCGTCAGCGAGGCACAGTTGCAGCTTCCATGGGATTAGTGTCATCCGTGAAATCAGAACCTGCGCCCCCCAGTATCGCAGTCAGCGACGTTATCACTGAACTATACACCACTCTGCACTACTTCATCTGTTTTCCTGACGTGATCATTGGGTAATCGGTCAGCATATCTGATTTCAACATTTCTATGCAACCAGTGTGCCTTAAGCATGAGTTTGAAGGAGATCAACATATTCTGTTGCATGAATTATATTGTTATTTCAACTTCTCTGGATGTTTTTCTGGTAGAAAAATAGTCTTTTTCAAGGGCACCTCATTGGTATCTACAGAAAACTCTTCATTCTTGTTAACATTGGAGAATCTTAATTCTTGTCACACAATAGCTAGAGCTGGTAAAGGATTCACAATAAAACAATTATTACATCATAATTTAGTGAAACATTTGTCCAGAATGCAGTTCCTTATAACCCACATTTGTGACAGGTGTAGTCAGTGATGACTTTAAGATTATATATCACTTATTTTGGAACTTAGTGCTCACAGATGCAAACTCCATCCAATCGATAGACTCACTAACAAAATAAACATTCACGTTATCTCTAACCCCCCTAGCTAATATGTTCGCAGTTAAGGTCATTCAGCCTATTTTACTGATTTCCTGTGTAAAATACAACTATGTTATATGCTTCTTCCTCGTCATAGATGAAATATATTCGTAAAATGCCAGTGAAGTAGAAAAATTAATTCCTGACATTTTGCAACTTCGTTGAAATCACTTCTTCTGAGAATAAAACCTGTATACGTTATTGACTGTTTAAATAGTAGACGGTGATCAATAAGATCACGTTATTATTTATGATCCATTTACCTAAGGCTAAACTTATTCAACTCTAGCAGGTCAAATTTTGATGCTGAAGTTTATTAAATCTTCCACGTTAGTCGATAAGGTGTAATAAGTAGGTTTAAGATATACCACTTCAGATCCAAGTATATAAGAAACCGGATATAACAAATTGTCATCTTAGTCACTCAGCCATAATAGGAATTGTTTAACATCCCAATCCGGTCGATACTTACAGTTTCACTCTTCAGTCTAACCAGTGAGAGAATACTCCCACGCTTATTTACTTCATATACACATCTTTTAATAGCACAATGTGCCTAAAACGTTTGAAGTTGACTGTAAAGTACTACTAAATTCTGCTGAATATGTCGTAATATAAAGTTTAGTATAATTTATTCGAAATTCAGTGTTGGTCTTTAAATTAAACTACTTCCCTTGCACAGGGAATGGTTTGCTGACCTATTGGATAACGTCTTGGCGTTTGGAGCTATAGGTCCAGGGTTAGGAATAGCATCACCCATCAGGAGGGAGGCATATTCAGTTGATGCCTTTAAAACAGGAAGGAACGCGTGCCATGCCCTCCACTGTAAGTCTCTGTCCACCAATACAACTAAGTATCATATACTATTGTTTTGGTGATAAGCCCAATTGTAACCCTGTAACAAAACTGCCGCTGCCTATCTGGAAAAAATTCACTGTATGATGTTTAAGTTACACTGCACCAGAACTTCAATACTAGGATTATTGAATTCCAGAAAACCCAACACAGTATTCGCATAAGATTTAATAAAGATATTTTTGCTACATAGTTAAATAGTTATTGTGGAATCAATTTTCTGATATCCTTCTCAATTACCGCCTTTTTTTCTTTTATGCTTCATGATATAGAACAAATGAAAATGACAGATCTTCAAATGCAACATAGTGTAAACCACCAAGATGAGTTGGAGTTTGAAGATAGTCTTGAAAGGATGTCCCGTGACTTAGTCAGTGATATTTTAAACCGTGCACGATGTAAAGTTGCAAGTGAAACATCTAACACAGAACAAAATAGACCAGAGTCACAGTCAAAAAAATTAGCAGTACTTACACCACAGTTATCATTATCAACTTCATCCTCTTCACCTAAGAAATATATTGAATACGCTAACTCATTTATCATTTCTCCAACAAATCAAACATCTGTTACTAATGAGGAAATTCAAACCTCGAATGCTGACAAGGAAAACACTTCACCTGGAGATTTAGCCACTGAAGTGAAATCATCAGAAAGAAAACCATTTGGTCAACGCACAAGAAAATTTGATTTTCATTCCAATGTTTTAAATGACTTCAGAGGTATTGGAGTTGGATCAGCCACACCTGATACTCCACGTCAAACAGACTATCAATGTAATTCTAGTACAGAAGTATGTACAGTAAAAAGTAGTATTTTCACTCCACTATACTGTCATACAAATAAATCTGTTTGTTTGAGGGAAATGTCACCATCACCGTCAAGTCTTTCACTCATTTTAATTGAAAGTAATTCGTCTGACTTATCCAAAAGACAGAATTTGAATCCTGTTAGCGAATATGCTGCATCTTGCAGAATGCTTACATACAGACAAGATTCTCCAACAGTTATAAACACTGTTGACATAGAACAAAAGTTGAAGCCGTTCAGCTCTCCCCTTCCAGTTTATATTCCATCCACAGCCTGTACTCGGATTCTTAAACAATCCGAAATTCACAGATCCACAAATGGGTATAATTCACTACTCAACAGATTCAGAGATGCTGATACTACCGGTATTAACTTACCGTATCATGATAATATTTCTCTGGATTTAGAAACATCTAGTACTAACTGTGACAGTGATAATTACACAATTCGTACAAAACAAAAAGTCAATAAACCAAAAGTACCACGTCTGAAATTATCATCAAGTCCAAAGTTGAATGATTCCCTACACATAGTCAGATAAGAACACGACATTTTTCATTAACACGGGATAACACTAGTATAAAGAAAACACGAAATCCACAAATCCCAAAGTCAACAAGTTCTTCTTTGTGTTGGTGGGAACCATTCAATCATAATGATCAGTACTGTACGGGAAAAGTAGCATCAGCACCAACAAGTAAATCTCAGTCTAACAACAAATTTTATCTTCCAGAACCTAGTCCAGAGGTATTGAAACATTATCGTTATTTATGTGCTCAACAAGCTGTGAAAGAAGCCTCTCTTATTAAAGCGATAACTGAGGCTGAGACTAAAGCAAAATGTGATAAAATTGCACACTATGATCTATTAAGACAAAAATCAGCAAAATCTGCATATGATCGTTATAAAAAGCAAATTAGATTTATAAACTCACACCAGTCAAGGAGAGATGACCTTATTACAAATCGTTTAAACAAAACCAATAACTCTAACAATAGATTAAGTTTAACTAGACCTGAAAATTTTGTACACTTATTGCAAAAAGAGAATAAACCAAAAAGTTCTCAGTATTCAAGTAAAGAAGACTTATATTCAAATGTCGAAAAATCAAGAAAGCAACGTTCAGTACTGAGCAGTAAAAATCATAATGTAAGTTAATATCACCATCAATTAATGGATAATATGTCCTAGTCAAGTAGCCATTTATTGTTAAATTAAACTAAAATTGATAAAATGTTGATTGGATTAACATAGTCTCTCAAATGAATATAATAGGCCAATAATAAAGGTAATAAGTTCATATGCATAAAGTACAGTCCTTTCTACGCAAACTACTTGTTCTTATTAACTGTTAATAGACAGGTAGATAGACAAAATCAACATGGAATATCGTGGACAAGTGCGTCCGTTCAAATTGTCATTCTTCAGAGTAATAGTATACAAAGAACAATTGAATCGTGCATTCAAATTTCATATGTTATATGCAGATTCAGATATAGAGTAGAAATTAAAAGCTTTAACTTTAATAATGCTCATCTTAATGAATGTCTTTAACTTGCGTCAGAGGATTGTGTCCCTTCAGTTTCTTTAATAAAAAATGGTGTATCATTGACAGAATCTGTTTTTATTTAAATTTGTTCATCTACTCAGATTTTTCGAGTAGTGCTTTTTTATTCCACCTAGTTATTCAGCCTTTGTTAAACAATAAGTTTACATTTTTGAGTTTAGACAACCAAAGAACACAATTCAGTTTCTCTTCCAACTAATCATTCTAACAGCAAGGATTCTAAAATAAAAATAACATGAGACAGGATTTATCAAATAAAGCTTTTTGCTTAAGAATACAAGACACTGACTGAATGAAAACGTGTCCAACACAAGACCTGACAGCCATGAGTATGCACTGCTTATGTAGGATAAAACATCTCCCCACCACCTTTCAATGCTTCTGTAACTGATATCAGTTCATACTGAATACCACCTTTGATAAATATATGTTTCCGGTTTTAAATTTTTTTGATAGAATATTTCTATCACATATGGTCACAAATTTACAACCATTTTAAGTTGCACACGAACTTTGTATATATGTATAAGTTTGACTATTTGAGATAGACGTGGTTTGGGAGACGTATTAATACTAAGTGATGATTGAAAGTGAAGTAAAAATCTTCGCGGTGGGTTGCTGGTTCGAATCCCACTTAGGCCAAGATTTTCATTTCACCTTCAATCATCATCCAGTACATAAATATGTACATACACTATTTTGATACGTTGTAAACTTGAAATATTAGTAAAATCCAGTGAGATTAAGTTCTTATTGTTTACTACCAAATCTTTTTAATGCATATTAAGAGAATAAAGAACCGAAACTTTCATATCTATATCATTATGAGTAATTCTTTTTCTCTGCTGTTCATTTGTACATTTCAAATTTTCTATGTTTAGCTAATAAATGTTTCAGCATTAAAAGACGCCAGTTAGGTAGCAGTTCAAAACTTATGGTCAAAAAGTACAACTACGTAATATGTTTCCTGCTCTAAGGGTAAACTAAAAGTTTTGAAAATTTTGTGCATGTATTTTGTTATTTTATGACAATGACTATTGTGGTGAAATATACTACTGAACAAATTGAGTAGTTGGAAAACGTTCAGGCTGATCTATAGATTTTCATACATGTTCATGCAAGTCAGCTATCTGGATACAGGTGGTCTAAACTATTTGGCTGTGTGAGCTGAATTTATCCGGGTACTCCACTGATGAACTTGACCCCAAACAGGCGAAACGGACATCCGGTGTTTACATTGCTTGGATCTGACTAGCGAAATACTACAGACCAACCTGAGTGGTTTCTACTTATTCAAGCTGCTCAGCAGTAGTACCTTTCGTTACTTCATAGCACTCTTGTATAAGAGATCATATCTTGTGATCTTAGCCGAGTTGTTTCCAGTGGAAATCTTGTTCACACAACAGTTGAGCAGTTGAAAAAACTACTCGGCTACAGAAATATCAGTGTGGACCATGCAATCTGCGAATCATTTGCAGACTGAATATTCTCTTTTAACTATTTTGGCATGTTTATCACATAATTGATCAAAAAAGTCGTATAAAAATTGAGGACTTCAGGTTATCAGGTGCTGGATTAGACAAGTGATACAGAAAAAGCTGGAACTACGGGGAATTATATCATGAATGCCTAGTTGGTATCATTCGCCTTGTCATAGTTTATTCATATTGTTTAATGATAGTTTGTGAGCAGAACCAAATGACTCGAAAAAATTATTGAAACCTGGAAAATATTATTGTTATGATACTTGTAATTTCCCGTTGCAATACACGAGCGAAGATTTCGATTTCGCCGATGATTTATGCTTGATGTCGCACAAACTCGACTATCTGCAGGCAAAAACCAACAAGTTGACAGGAGAGGCAGTGAAAGCGGGACTGCAAGTGAACGTACAGAAGACAGAGGTGATGAAGATACCCAACGAACAATAACAAGTACTAATCACCATCAGCGGCAGAAACCTAAAAGAAGTTGTCTCTTTCATCTACCTAGGCGGCATTGTTTCAACTTCAGGCTACAGCGGCACAGACTAGGATGTCAAAACCAGGATCACTAATCTGAAATCAGTGTGGAGATCCACTGCCCTGCACTCAGCGAAAAGCGTGAACAACATCCGGATTTTCAACACTTATGTCAGTCAGGTCAGTGCTTCTATGTGATGGTTGAGAGACTTGGCGTGTTACGAAAAGCATTTCCAACAAACTACAGATGGATTGGATTGGGCATGCACTGAGAAAATCATCTAGGGACATCACGTGCCAGACACTCGAGTGAAACCCAAAGTGGAGGCGACGAGTTGTGCATCGGAGGCGAGGGTGGCATGGAGGAGATCATGAGCGGGAGAAATGAAAGCTTCTGGGGAGTCGTGGAGCCAGGTTAAAAAGACAAGAGAGAACAAAATGCACTGGTGACGTACTACTGAAGCCCTATTTTCCACTAGGAACCCAAGGGAAAATCCTAATAATAATAATAATAATACAGGACAAAATTACTCGATCTCTGCTACTCGCAGATGGGCTCCTATGCGGATGCCTCGGTACTGTGGGATATTAATGATATAATATTGACCGTAGTGACTGACTAGCAGAGGAATCCAGAGCGCGCGTTTCGTCCCTCTCGGGACTCGTCAGCTAGATGTGCTTGCACCTCAGTGATGTTCCCACTTAGGCTGGAGCCAGCACTCATCGCCTCTCGGTGGCTTAGTTGGTAACACTTTGGCGTTTGAGGTGATGGGTACGAGATTCGAGTCTCAGTGGGGACAACATGACTCACTGGGGTGTAGGTTCATCCAGCCGATGAGTTCCAAATAGGGCAAAAAGCATGTCTAGGATCCCTCTGGTAGCTGCAACCAAGTAAATTGTCAGTTGGTTATACATTCTGTCTTCCAACGGAACGATTGTTAAAAAACCCTATAAACAGTTCAACTGCAAGTTATATGTAAGTAAGTAATCATAGCCAGTATCAGTTGCTGTAGAAAAGGCTCTTTCAGATGATCCAAATTTTTCAAAGTTACCATAAGTTGAAACTGACAGCATTTGATTTGCTAGATGGTTCTGTCTTTATAAGTTTATATAATAGTTGTTAGCCAAATACCAAACAAAAGTAATTTCAGCTAGTGAAATTTCTTCATATCTCTTATCAAGTGAAGATAATTTAGCTGCTACCTAGTTGTAAAGGACTTCAAATACTAATAACAGTTCTGTCTTAATTTTTGGTCAAATAGCAACGTTACTAGAAACCTTTGTAGTTAATGTGCAGGTTTGTCAAACACTTTGTTGAAGTCACTGAGAACTGCAGCAAACAGAAGGTTGTAACCTTCAAAACTGCTGTTGCTTTTAGTTGTAGTAATTTTGTGAGGCACAAGTAGCTCAGATAGTAGAGAAGATTTCTGACTGAGAATGAAGATGATAACACTTTGATGTTCTCCGAGCTTCTATATGAAGTAAGTCTCCCAACCGGGCGACCAAATGTCGAAGAACAAACCTCGAATTTTGGAGAACAAACGATTGCCACACAATTAACTGTTCTGAAGACAATACTCTTCTGTAACCAGGACTTACCTGCTACTAAAGTATTAATACGATTTGCCATTGATATTAACTCGTATAACCTATCGGACTCGAGACTTCATCCGTCGATTCATCTGAAAACCTTGTTGTAAAATGCTTATTCTATAAGCAAACTCTAAACGGCATCAACAATCTTATTGAGCATAGGTGCAAGATATCTAGTTCCAGTACTCCACGGTATCACTAAACAGTGACAAAAATCTCTCATCATAAAGTTGAATTATGAGCATATTCAGTACCATACTTGTCCTTGAATTTTCTGGCAACCTTTGCATCAACAATTAACCTTCTACTCTAGTTGGCCTACTGCTAAGTTAATCCTGATTTGTTCATTCACTAATAGTAAAAGACATCCTAAGACTATTAAACTTAGACAGAATGAAGTTTATGGGAATTAGTTGAAATCTTTATGGCTTTTTAGCATTCGGGAAAAGTAAGTATATAACCTTTTCTAGTCATATTGTACAACGTTTAACAACCTCAGTAATACTCTTAGCATGAATTGCTTTTTCCGCTTTACAGTCTAGAATATTTTTAACCATTATTCTTTTCATGACGTATTGAAATTTTGAAAGGATGAAATGTAACGTGCCGAACTGGTTTCTTAGGTATGTCATTATACAAGAATTATTTTCGTAATATGCTTATACGATTAGTACAGATTGAAGTCTGAAATCAAGCATGGTAATACCAATTTTTCAGAAACCCCAAAAATAAATTACCATTATAACAAAAATTATCATATAGTGGATCAACTTTCTCGTTCCCTTCATTAGTAACATAAAGTTTTTGGGTTCCAGGTAGAAACCAGTCACATTCAAACGGAGTGAAGATTTTCGTTCTTCATATATGCTCATCGAAGAACAGGCAATGATTTCTGTGTCTCATCTCCTCTATCTTCCTTTCTCTTCCTATGTCACTCTGTAGTGCAGTCATCTTAACCAAAAGTAAAAACGGTAGCTTAGCTCACAACCATGAACTCAAGTAACACTGGAACAGGTACTAATTAATCTTTCATTTTC